ATTATTTTATATTTATTATTGTCAAATTCTCAAAGTATAACTTTTCAGTTGGTCATCTTTTTATCCGTTCATCAGTTCATATCACCATTAAAAGTCGGAATGCGATATACACCAGAGCAGGAATAACCAGAGCTTTAAAAATGAATAGTGTCTGTTTAGTCTCATCAGCATGACTAATTAGGACAACATGTTAAAAAACCATAACTGCTCATTCTGTTCAACTTTAATGATAACTGTATGCTACCTGGTATTTGGTATCCCCTTAAAGTGTCATCTGACCCCATTGCCACGGTATCGTCCCCATTTTGTTAAATCGTATGTACCAGATCTGTGCCCGTCGGCCTTTCGAATAGAGCCTACCTACTCAGCCTACTTACTAACCGTTCCCGCTTTTGGTGGTGAGCCTGCCCACACCGTAATTCCACTCGACGGAGAACCAGCCCTCTCTCTATCGCCCACTGGAACTAATTTAAATCCCACATGAGCTCACTGAGTACTACTGCATGCTGAGTACTGCGTACCCACCGTCAAACTGACCCAAAGTAAAGATCCACAAGGTGTACTTTTACCATTAGTGGCACTCAGTTGTAATGATGTAGTGAACTAGTTGCCGTGCGTTAATCACCTAAAGTTACGGATAACAACTGCATAAAATGAAGGGGGAATATTTGTGAAGCAAAAGTTCTTTTGCCTTCTACTAGCCACTATCTAGTAGCACAGGGTTAAATTCCGACCAGCTTCTAGCGTTAACAACACTTACCTATCACCCTAGGTTAAATCTGCTTGAATCCTTTTCTAGGAAGAATGAGGATACTTAACATTTTCACTTGATATGGATTTCATTTCATTTTATTTAATACGTCTTCCTCGATAGCATAATCACCGATCTCAGTGCGTGCTATCTAAATGCCGACTCATTCTTCTCATTCTCGTGAATACCTGCTCGGGTGTGCTTTAAGTAGCCAGCTCAGCCGCAGTCAGTATCTCGCAATAGCAGCGCCTTGAATCTCTATTGCTCTCTGTTACAAGGCGCGGGATGTGAAACAGATTAAATTCATGTGGGCGCTTCTCAGGCTGAAGCATTTTATTTTCATTTGCTGTCTCAATGCCACAAACGGCCCACATTCTAAGAATGCCCTTTTTAATCCGATCAAAATAACTACACTCAAAGTTTTGTCCAATCTCCCAACTGGGTGCATAGGAAAAGCAAAAGCCGATACTAGTGAAAGTTTGGTTACAGTTGCTTCCAAGAAGGGCCGATCTTTAACATCAGAAGCACTCCCATTGAATCGAAAACTGAGAAGCGAAGCGGCTTTCTCTAGGTGCAAGCACCACCGGTTTCCTGCGGTAACTTACCAAGTATGTCAATCGCTGCTCGCTACATGTCGAATGCTAATAAGCAGCAACAAAAGGTGCCCTACATACTGTGCTCCAATGTCCCAGAATCAAACTTGACGTCAATTAGGGGCAGACAGTTGAACGACCTGGACCAGTGGGACGTCACCAGTAATCTACTCGGTGTTGTGGTTAAACCCGAGCATGTAGTGTGAAGCACGTGTCATCCGAACTCCAAGCATTACGAGGCTACAAGACTTCTACGTGTTATGGTGAACCTTGCAACCGAAGTAGAATCACTTCTGCTGTCCTCAGGTCAACTCGGAAATGAACACTGCTCCATCTTTGTCTTTTCACACAACCCACCGGGCGTGTTATCGAACTAACCGCAGCTTAGAAGGCCACCGAAAAGAAACCTCAGTCAAGTCTATCCTTGTCCACGGCGTCCTTGAAACTGAAGCTTGCGAGAAGCATGAACTAACAAATCATGATAGGGAACAATGGTGTTGCATTCGTGAAATACCCTACTTGGATGACGTACTAGAGAAATCGGTGTCACAGCCACACACATCACCTAACTACAAAAGATGTGGCCCAAAAGTGTTGAAGGTATTTGCAAAGTAAAAACAAGTGGCGGCGCGACTACTGAAAAGTTGCTGCATGTTTCGAGCAGTCTGTCATCAAAGCTTCGGATGTAAGCAGAAAGAGTTGTGCCCGCAGAGATGACATGTCACCCAAAGTACCAAACATAATGGGAATTATGATAGAACAAAGTACCAGTTGATAAGGTGTGCCATCATACTCTTTACATTGTACGTAGAATGTTAGATTTTGAATTGCTTAAGAATCTGATGAATCTGACGCCGAACTTGTCGCCAATTACCCACCGAAAATTTCTCGGCGAAACTTTACGTATTAGTTGCACGATCCCCGATACTTTACTGAAATCCTAGAAGCATACATGTGAATGTGCCAACTTCCAACTGCTCCTCTGTAAACTTACTGAACTTCAACTAAGTCCGGCTGCGAATGCTAGGGACGTAATTTCCATTACTGAAACCTGGTTACATCAAGAAGTTGCTGATGCTGAGTTCGAGATAACAGGAATGTCACTCATCTGGAACGACCGTACCAGCAAGGGTGGTAGGGTTCTTCTCTACTACCGCAGTGATCTGCAGTGTGCACTAGAATATGGTCCGGAAATTCATGTTACCAACTCACTCTGGTGCGATCTTCGACTAAGGCACAATGTCACCGGTCTCGTAGCTGTCGTTCACCGCCCCCCGCCCAACATTCACGAAGAAAATGGATTCCAGCTTGCTACGTGCCTTGAACAGAGTAGCATACTCTAGGTGCAGCCACAGTCTCATCGCCGCTGATCTCAAAGTACTCAAGCCGGAGTTAGCGACATTCTCCCGTGAACCGCTCAAAGCAGGTTGGGATGAACGGATCGCTAATATTCCCTTATACAATCATGTCCCCGCTCCCACTAGATTCAGGACAGCAAAACACTGACCGTATTGGACGTTGTGCACATAAATGAAGAGCTCATTGTCGACAGGCTAATGATGAAGAGTCCATAAGGTCTCATTGACCATGTAGTCATAATATTTAACTAGTTTGCTATGCAGAGCCTCCATCTGAACATTCAGAATTAATACGGTCACACGCTACCAAGTCATAACAGAACTCATCCAGGCATCCACTTGGGAATGCTCGAACAACTGTCCTATTACCAACGTTTGGAATGGGTTCGCTGAAAGATTCATTGACAGCGTCAACAGAGCATCGGAAACTAAGTCCCTTCGTTCCGCAAAAGTGCCGTTAATCCTCAGAAACATGACTAGACAATGCATGGCAATAAGGAATGCAGCATGGCATTTCTACGAGGCTAACAGCGACTCAGCAACTTGGGGCAATTTCCTGACCCACCGCAACCATCGCACCACACTTTTCGTGAGGACAAAGCAGCTTATCACTTGTGCATAGTCAAACCGTTTCCGGCCAAAAACAAACTACTCTACGTCTGTTCACAATAGACAGTAGGGTACAAAGCGCTGACGAAGCAGCCAATGCCCTGCGGCTATAATACGCCACACCCTGTCCCTGTCACATGCCCTCATCCACCTTATCAACCATAGGGTTTCTGCAGGTTATTTTCAATGCAGCCACCGTGCTGAGGAAGTTACTTCCATTACGCGATCGCAGCTATCCTGAAACCAACAACATTCGCCCAAAAGCACTGAAGGCTGCAACCCTAAACTAGCGGAGCCCCTGTCACAGTTCTTTTAAAGACAGTTCGATGAACAACAAGTCCCCACTATGTGGAGGCGTGGCATTATTACCGAAATTTTTAAAACCGTAACCTTTCAGACCCTGCAAACTACCGCCCAGTGACTCTAGCGCACGTGCTCTCCAACGTGACGGAAGCGGTCGTCGCTGACGAAAAATGCAACACCTTGGCACCGTCGCAGCATGTCTTCTGTCAACACCGTTCATTCATCGTTAACCAGCTGATGGCACAAGGTATTTGTACGGAACTGACTGACAGCGGGGTCAGAGTCCACGTTATCTGTCTGGACTTCTCCAAAGTTTTCGACTGCCTGGATGACAACCATCTACTGCACTGTATACAGAGGTATAAAATCGGGATTCTATCCTTGGTTTTATTGACAACTTTCTTCACCAACGGAGGATTCAATTGCGTCATATGTAGCCACTATCCGACACAATTAGGATAGAATGCGGTGTTCCACCTGGATCGGTGCTGGGACCGCGTTTATTCCTGATGTTTATTAATGACCTGTCACTGATTATCGCATCTAATTTCTCTCTTTTGGCCACAGATATTAAGATATGGCCAGCGATTACTAGTAATAATGGTAACGAATTCCTCAAACTTCACCTGCCTTACGTTTTTGAATGGTCAATAAGGAACCTACTCCAGTTTAATACAGCTAAGTTCAAAGTGACCCACCTGCTCCATCAGCCGGTAAGCGTTCACAAGTTTGAAGGCCACACTATACAGAAGGTCTCCCTTGAGCTTGATCTGGATGCACTGGTGCAGGACCATCATGGGTGCTCGAAACATGCAGAGAAGGCGTAGAGAATCGTCGATCAATGCCTCGGCCTTCTTCGCGCAGTGTTCGGTCAGTTTGACTAGTCAATATTCCTAAAATGTCAAACATCTAAGTGGACGGCACATGAAATACGCCATCCAAATGTGGCAGCCGTGGCCCGAAAAGGATCTGGTTACTCTCCAGATTCCTCAGCGAAGAGCAACCAAGAAGGTCAGAGACAAACTTCATCTGTTCTACTAGCATAATTTAAAGTACCTAGGAATGTGCAGCGGTCGCTATTAGCGCTTGCGGGGGACCTCATAATGGTTTAACGGATCCTTAAGACTCCAAAGCACATTTGGCGTAAGCTGGTGGAACGGAACCTCAACACCTACATAACAGGCCATCTTTAGTAGTTGATGATACAGTATAGCTAGCTGAAATGCCTTAGAAATTTCTTCTCACTTCGAGTGTTTCAGACGTGGACCATTCTCTCAAATTATGTGGCCTCTGCCCCCAAACTAGCGATCTCGCGAAAACGAATCGAAGAAGAACTGTCTAATCCGAATTTCACTTTATAATTTGTCTTAACCAGGCGGCTACCTAATGCAACCAAACGGTCTGTTTCCGATAATTAAACTTGTAGATTTATACCTCTGTCATGTGAGCAGTTCGGCTCGCTTACACATGTCTCAATACGGAATCCATGGTGAGTCCACCGATACACTTTTCACTAAATCGGGAATTTTTATTTTCCCAATAATTTCCATCCCATGTACTTACTAAGCATGGCATTTTTTTTTGAAGATTCATCGTAGCTAGACTCATCGAGACAACCACCACCCATCCAAGAAAGCGCTAGCAGCCGTTCCCTCCTTTGGGGACTTGTAAATAGCACGAATCTTCCTAATCGTGCAGGCGTAGAGCCCTTGCGCCTACTTTTACAAGCCAGTAACTTATGCCACTGAGCCATGATAGACGGCAGCACACCGTCATGGCCGGTATGTAACTGTGTATCGCGCGGCTCATCCTCCGTTATCACACATGTTATGAAAGTGCAAAGGACAGGGCTGGCCCCCAGGACAACTACATCCACAGCAAGGCGCCACCATACGTGATGGTATGTAGACTGCTAAGGTCATTGTTGCTTAGTAGTGAGTAATAGAGTGATTTTTTGCATTTTATGAAGATTTGTCGAGGCTAGACTCAGGTAGACACCCACCAGAGTCACGACCGTCACCAAGATTGTTCATTAAAAGAAACTAGTATGAACCGGGAATAAGTGTTCGTAAAATTTAATATTTATAAACAACACATCCTCTATGGGAATTAGTAGGAGTTGACTGAAACTGCACATCTATTTTACAAACTGCAACGTAATCCGCTGTCGGATGACAAGAAATAAAGCAGTGAGAATCATCTACCCGCTCTACTTGATGTTCAATGTTACTGCATATACACAACAAGGAAATCGTGGTAACTCACTCGGATCTCATGAGAAGTGTCTGTTTCATTTGATCACAGGGTACGCCGCTACTTACGATGATAATGTTGAAAAAATAGTTACAAATTCTGTCCAATGGATATTGTATCAATAGCCGAGAGTTAGAGCGTAGACAAACAATGGATATCGGATCATTTGGTAGCCGTTTCAGCGGTGCACTATACGGTGGTAACACATTTCCGTTTGCTTCCTTAACAGCTTAAAGAACATGTATTTATGGTTCAGTGTGTGGTTAAAGATTTCAGCAAAGCTGAAGAAATATTAGGCGTCAAATCTTTTAAATTTAATTTTGACTTTAGGATAAGGTAGCGAACCTTGGTTTTATACCTAATTATTTTGACCACGTTGCCAACCTAACAGTGTAATGTTTTCAAAGAGAGATCCGAAAATCGTTTGGGAGTTGCAAACAACGCATTAGATCACACTGCATGCAGCAGTTCCTGGAGTAGTTGGCCACCCCAGAATCATAAACCTCCTTGTGCTTCAAGTCAGTATCTCTCGAATAAAGCAGTCGCAAGCGCAAATGGTTGAGTGCCATTCTTAAACTGTTGTTAGAGGATGAGAAATGTGCATTTCGATTAGTGCGCTGTTTCATTCAAAAAGCTCCTATAGTCTAACTAATCATGGAGTGTACGTTTAACCACAAAAATCGGGGATGCGCATGATCCACACACACGTTAAATATTGCAGCAATTCTTCATCACTGTTGATGTCATTAATGTTCATTAACCTGTGGAAGTATCGAACACTACACTCACCACTCTTTCTGTGATCAGCCTGAAATATTCCAGATCCGGACAGAAAACGTATCATTTAGGACACACTGAGCACCGTGTTTCGACTTCTTCTTCTGATGTTCACATTCTATCAGTGAGAAGACAAAAGATAACGGACGGTGCAGGTGCTTCAACTAATCAAAGTGGGGAATTAAACTTGCAAGGAGGTTCTCTACCACCGCATTATTATGTTCTACACTGAGTGGCATGTGGACCCCATAATATTGGTCTGAATTCAAAATTCTTGCGTCTTAAGACTTGACTTGATTTGACTTAAGAGTATTCAGACAAAATAGGTGCACTGCATCAAAGCCTTCTCAACATTGAACTTATTCGGAAGGATAAATACGTACAAAATAACGAGCTAACTTTGCTAGAATTCTGTTGCCGTCAGCTAGATACATCCTCGCGTTGACAAAACACCACTTTCATCCAAATATCAAGGTGCGCACAAAGAGTTCATCCGTGAGCTAATCGTTTGTTCCCTTCAATAGTGGACTTATAATACGATAATGGTCATCCGTGGTATCCGTGTCAAGTTACCACGGTCAGAAATACTGTCTCACCAACATTGGAAATGAGCACTTTGTCAGTTTATTCCACAGCCGCTTGTGTTTTTGGAGGCTAAGCTGTAGGTTTCATTGGGGCATGTCCGACCCAGAGTGTTATTGCAACTGCACGAGTGTGCGTCTAGACCAAGACAGTTATCTTGATGTAAATTCTACGTTAGTTCAGTGTATGTTTTCAATAGTCATCCACCATTTTGTACGATTGCAATCATCTAAAGCTCACTCTTGTCTCATCTGTTTATAGGGGGTACTGACCGCATCACTGTCAAAAAAGAGTGCATTTGTCTCACATTCCTTTTAACTGAATTAGTTTTTGCCACAGTCGCTGACTACACTCAAGATACTGACGTAATACTGTTCAGGTCTCCTGGAAATGATACGAAACGCCTTCGGCGAAGAGGCCCTTATCTTCTGTCGGCACATGTAGATTTTGGGCCCAATGTTGGTTGAACCTTCCAATCAACAGCTTCTGAATGGTTCATCAAATAACCGTCTTTCAATTAACATCACTCGGCAGTAATTAGTGGGACAATGTACTAAATTCGTAAACATTTTATGTGAGCTCCGCTTTCACTCTCATCATACCTGAGTGGTCGCCACCAGATAGTCACTTTGGTGACTATCGCTCTTCTTCAATCTCCATCACAGGTAAGGTCATGCAAGGGGGGTGTGCTCGGTTCTTCTCCGTTCCTGCACAACATCAACATCACCACGTCTGTAAAACATGGTCAGCCATTTTTATTCCTCGATGATTTCAAGATCCTCTATAAGCTTCGATACGATGAGCTTAACGGAAAGCTTTTGCTCATTCAAAATGACATGATCCCTTCAGGCATGGTGTGACTGGTGTGTGATGAACCTCTAGGCTAAAAGTTAAGTACCATGTCTTAGGGATGTTATATTCCTCAAGGATCTAAGATATTGAATAATGAAGTTGTCCTTATACAGTTGTGCGCGCTTGATCTCGGGATAAGTTACTCACAGGGCAGGCCCTATACCAAGTAGCATTTACCAGACAATCTGTGTTCTATATATCCAGCAAACACCGCACAACCCATGCTAGAGTTGAGATTCTTAAGCTACTAGCCTGTCCATCCTTGCATACTGTAACATCCCTTACAATAATATGAGAACGAGTGACAAAATTGCTGTTGAAAACTTTCAGAAGTAATTTACTAAATATCTAATTGATAAGCAATCTACCATGATTTATCGAGAGTGTTGCAGCAAGCTTCAATTTGTGCCACTTTGGATGAAGTGACTGAATCACAACTTTCTTCTGTCTTACAAGCTGATATAAATGAAAACCTAATCTGATCCGCTTATACTGGAACTGCAACATAGCTCAAGTCGGGAGCCTCGCAACAAAAGTCGTACACTCAATATGCCAAAAGCTAGAACAAGGATTCGCTCAGATTTCCTCGTAATAAGATATACCCATCTGTGGAAGACACTGTCAAGTACACTCAGGCCATGTGATAATATAGCAACATTTAGTTACAAGCTGCCAAGTTACCTTGACTTGGATGCCATAATGACTATATTCACATGGGCAAAATCGCTCGATGGGCTGTTCCATGGTGCGCCCAAAAACGTCGGAACACCCACGTTTCCAAACTTTGGCTTTAGCCTCAACCACCTAATAAATCGCAACTTCATGAATCTTATACCTCAATATTTCGTTTATCGCCCATGCCAGCGCAAGGTTACTTTAGTACGTAGTCATCTGCACTGCGACAGACACCAGAATAATGACCTTGTCGGCGTGTGCGTGCTAATCGTGCAATCCTGTGCTCTGTGTTTTATTGGACGTATCCCTTCACATTCTTGTGCCACATCTTCGGAAGTACGCTCAATCGATTCGGATCACTGAGCTCTATCCAACGGCGTCTATACTTTTGAAGTAAGTCCAACTATACGCTGGTACACCACAAACTAAGTCTTCGGCGGTCTATTCACCAAGGCCAACCTGAGTAACTGCTTATTTGAGTTTTATCAGTACCTTCGGGATACCATTCGACAGATCTTTTTTAAGGCTGTCAGACAATATATAACTTAGTACTGTGCACCAGGGTATACCATAGATACAAGCATTTTTGTCATCTCACCTTACCACCATATTTTTACGTGCATTTCACTGCACAAAGCCTGTGTGATTTTACCTACCCGTGCGCCTAGTGACGCACCATCCAAACGCGCTGACTGAAGCAGGCAACTGAGGCGGCCAAACGACGTGACCAGCGCAACCTAAAAGTGCACACCGACCATTGATCCATGGGCCGGAGAAGTTTGTCAACCGGGAATCCAGTGAGCAACAAAGCTAAGGTCAACCGTGGCTCAGACAAGCGGGGAACTGAAATCCGCTCGAAAATCACGTGTTCGTTCTGTGCCAATTCATTTGACGCGACAAATGTGAACTTTACACTTAACGAAGCTAACAGCGTATCGACAGATAGCTTGTGGTTTTGTGACATATGTTCAAATAGTCCGATAATTAAGATTGTTCAAAAACTTACGATAACGTGTGAAGCATTGAATGTTACGTCTGCAGACCAAAAGGAACTGATCGCAGCATTGGGAGGGAAAATCTCAGAACTCGAGTTGCAGATTAGTGCATTACGTAGCCCGAATCCCCGACCTGTTAAAAGGCAAAAGCTCTCTAGCAACAACGCTACTCAGTCCAGCGAAAGGCAAACACCGTTAGTGAAAAACAGCAGTGCAAACAGGCCGCTTGAACGGTACCCCAAGTCTCAAGTAATGCGCCAAAGCATGCAGAGTTACGCACAAATTGCATGCTCACCTCCGTCAGTAGCTGGTCAACAACAATTGACCCCTACAGATAGCGCAACTAACGGCGTTG